CTGAAAAAAATGGAGTTTCCATCAGTGGAGATGGGGAAACACTGATGCAGGTTTAGGAGGCAAGATTACATGTTCACTGTGGGGCAAGATGAGGTCTCTTCTCCTGCAACTTGACCTGTGGATTAGGCAGTCGGGGATACCAGATAAGACCTCTGGAAAGAGGCACAGACTGGAAATAAAAATGCAGTCCTTGACACATAGAGGTTTATTTAAAGAGATGGGACTGGAAATGAAATACAGAAGTGTAGACAGGAAGAGGAAAAGAATCAAAAGACTGAGCCACCATACTAAGATCAAACAGTGGAGATGACCCAGCAGTGGAGTTCCCGCAGTGGGTGAGTCTGTCCTCTCCCTGTAGTTCTATTAGCTTTTGCTTTATCTGTTTTGAGACTTACTAGGTAATTTAAGTTCAGGATTAATATGTATCTTCCAGTAAGTTGCAAGCTACATCATTAAGGCAATTTACTCCTTTTAATGATTTCTGGTTCGAAATCTATTTTGGCTGATGTCAATACATTTATACCAGTTTTCTTTCAGTTACTTTTTATCTGGCATGTAATTTTCCATCCTATTAATTTCAACCTATCCATGATCTTCATGGTTATGTGTCTCTCTTTGTAAAAGGCAAATGAATCTATTTTGGTTCTTTCTTCAATCTGTCAATTTCTACTTTTTTTTTTTTTTGGAAAGGGATTGATACCAGGAATTGAACTCTGGGGCATTCAACCACTGAGCCACATTCCAAGCCCTGTTTGCATTTTATTTAGAGACAGGGTCTTACTGAGTTGCTTAGCACCTCACTTTTGCCGAAGCTGGCTTTGAACTTGCAATCCTCCTACTTACCTCCTGAGCTGCTGGGATTATAGGCATGCACCATAGCACCCGGATCAATTTCTACCTTTTAACTAATAAGTTTATACCACATTCATATTTATTCTTGAGTATTGATACATTGAACTTGAATTTGTTTTTATCATCTCACTCTGCTTACTATTTACCCTGGTTGTTTTCTTCCTCTTTTCCTCTTCTACCCTCCTCTAACTCCTCCTTCTTTTTCTACATTCATGCTATTTAAAAGTTTATGGTGGAGGTCTTGTTTGTTGGCTGACTGGTTTTCTTATTTATTCTATGGTTTTCTATCGAGTGGCTTCAAAGTTATTTGTTTTAATTGCATAGTACATTTTTCCTTAAAATTTGGCCATATATATTTGACAAAACTGAAAGTTAATCTCATAACATCCTCTTAAATAGTATAAGAATGAAGAACACTTTAGCCAGATCATTTTCAATACTGTGTTGTCCAGTGTTAAATGACTGGCATTTCTCTAGTGCTATTAATTTTCTATTTTTGCTGGCTCTCACCCATGGTGGCTTTTTTCCTGTGGATTGTGATCATTGCTTCTCTCCTTATTGTATTTCCTGGTAGCCGGACCAGCACACTCACACTGGTCAAGAGCTCTGGTTACATGGAGGAAATCCAGTTTCAACGTCTCACCTTGTTTATTTTCCAAGACCCAATATCATGAAGCGGTGTCTAGCTACTTTCCCAAGACAATCTCATTTTTCACTTTTATTTTGCCCACAGCTGTGTGATCATTTGGTGTCATGATTTACTAAGAATGGGAGACTCTTTTTTTTGCTTGCTTGCTTACTTCCTATGAATTGAGTAAGATGAATTAAAATCACAAGGTTCATTCAACATCTAGAGTTGTTTTAGAGTGAAAGAGCCTTTCAAAGGAAGTTGTAACATTATGCCAGCCGTAGATGTTCATTATCCTATGTGTGAAGCTGTTTTTGTTTGTTTTGATATCTTGTAAAGACTTTTTTCAATGTACACGCTATTAAAAATTGTCAGGTATAGCAAATCAGAGCTAGCTGCGGTGACAGTTCCAAGTTTGCCCTGCAGTCGCTTGAGGAAATTAGCCAAGATCATAAACCACAGAAATGTGTCAGTGTGTGATAAAGGAACAGTGACTAACTACTTAACCTCAGGGTTGCTCTGAGAGTAGGCCTCTGGCCCCTGTCCGCTTGGGGTCAGGTCTTGGCTGCTCATGGGATCCTCTGTCTGGCACCAAGACTCATGAGTCTATCTACAGTGATCTATAGGCTTAAGTCAAATGTGATCAGAGCAAAGTTTATCAAAGGTTGGCCCTGAGGTTTTTGATAATGTCAAGATGTCACTTAAGTGGACAAATACACAAAGGCCTTAACATTTTAATTTACAATATAAAGACATTGCTTGTTTCTTCCCTCAACTATTTTTTGGTTTGGGATATATTTGTATCTTTTTTCTCCATTGGATCCACAAAATCTTACTTTGAGAGAAATAATATTAATTTTAGTTTGTCATTTTGGTGGGTTATGTGTCTTAATTTTCAATGGGTGACACACTATAGAGTATTTATTCTGCTGATGGGAAACTAACTAAAACTATAGAAAATATGACATAAATCTCTTTTCACCTCACTCTCTCCTTGGGTATGCGGGACAGATTGGCTAGGGGTTCTGGAAAAACAAATATTCTCTTTATAAATAAGTTACGGATGATAAAAAAAAAAATGCCACAAACAAACCAAGAAGGATCAAACCAACCTAAATAAATGATATAAGATATCCCCTGCACTTGAAAAATTTCTAACCAAAAGGATGTTTTCAAAATATATTGTAATCTTATCAGTTTACATGAGATGGCAAGCAAATATTACTTAAAATAGCCTGCACACATTCAAAGTAAAATAACAGTAGAAAGCCTATTAATTCTAGGGGGCTGGGGCTATGGCTTAGCAGTAGAGCGCTGGCCTAGCATGTGCAAGGCACTGGGTTCGATCCTCAGCACCACATAAAAATAAATAAAATAAAGGTATTGTGTCTAACTACAACTAAAAAATATTTTTAAAAAAGAAAGCCTGTTACTTCTTACCATTAAAGAGTTAAATATGTGGTGCTCCCTTTTATGCTTTGTAAAAACCAATGAATCCAAAATTTCTGGAAGGAGAAAAATACTGAAATTGTTGTTTATAGCAATAATTACATTTCCCTTTGGATCATGTACCTTTAAAATGTCTGAATGCATTGCTGTATAAGTGTCATGTGTGTTTAAAAGATGCCATAATTATTAGACACAGCTCTAGCACGGTGTCTTATGCACAAGCCCCGGGCTCCTACTCAAGGTAAAAGCCTGGGGTAGGCACCAGGCTGCTTATGAACGTGGCAGCAAGATCAAATTGTTGAATACATTGAGTCATCTGTGCAGGCTGAAAATTATGCTTCCCAGCCTCCTGTGAACATGTTTCCTCATTTTTTATTTTTTTAAAACTGTATCTTAGGATCTGCTTCAAAACACAGATGCCCACAAAAGAGCATTCCATGAAATCTATCGGACCAGGTCTGTCAACGGGATCCCAGTGCCACCTGATCAATTAGAGGACATGGCCGAGAGGTAAGAGAATTATCTGGTTTTAAATGAAATCTTCTTTTAAAATGCTAGGTAGATGATTTTTTTTTTACATTTCTTTTCTTTTTAATCAATCATTTGTTTTGTTTTGTTTTTTAAAAGCATAGATGCTTGCATTTGGTAAATGAAAAGTAGGCTCCTATAACATATGCTAAGAATGCCAACATTCTAATATATTATTAACTGAAAAGGCTCAGCCTGGCTGTACCCACAGCCTGAAAATCACAGGCATGGTTTCTTCAGAGCCTGTATTTTTTACTCAGTACTGTAAGGAACATTATGTAATATTGCAAAAACAGCTTATAAAAGAAACAGATGAGAGATGTGTTGGCAGGGGAGAGAACTAACTCAAAGACTTCAATCAATAATATTTTGCCTTTAAACCCAGAGCTAGAAAAGGATCCCAATCCCCAGACAGTAGTGATCAGCTAGAGTTTGGAGGACCTTGTGGCTGCCTGATATTTAAGGCTGCCATGTAACAGGTTAAGTAAGCATCGTTCTGTTACTATTAGTTACATTCCGTGAAATCTCCCTGTTTTATTTCTAGGTTTCACTTTGTTTCCTCCACATCAGAGCTGCACTTAATGAAAATGGAATTTCTAGAATTAAAGTACCGTCTGCTCTCACTGCTGGTTCTTGCAGAGTCAAAGCTAAAGTCTTGGATCATCAAGTACGGGAGACGAGAGTCAGTGGAGCTGCTTCTACAAAACTACATCGTAAGTCCCTGCTGCTTTAAAAGAGAAACCAGGGGACTCATAGAGTTAGCATTTAACACTTGCTAGTTTAATTGACATGATTGTTGTAATCTTGAATTTAAAACATAAAGTGTCAGTGTGTTAAATGGATTAGATCTAAGGTTATGGGCTTTTCAGAATCATATAAAATATAAATTTATATTCTTTGGAATCTGTTCTTTAAAACTGTAGGTAGGTTTGCTGCTTTAACTATATTAAACCATTGTGACTGGGCTTTACTTCTTAAAAACGTTTTTGAATTGCATACCCAGTCCTTAGATTGGAACCCGTTGCTCCTTTGAAACTGAATTGCAGTACATAAATCTTCATGTCTTCTAAAATCCAGTTGACAGTAGTTTGGGAACAATTTTCAGTTGTCCACTTGGGAACTATTTATTTTTAGGTGGGGGCCTATGTGTCTCCTTCATGGTCATTCCCTGAGCTTCTTGCTCCTGTGTGCACACAGGCAGTGTAAAATTTTGTGTATGAATCTCTACCAACTTAATTTTTGAAGATTATCTCATATTTGGGGCTCTTAGTAGAGATAATCCTATATCTACTTGAAATTGTAGCCTTTTGTTAATGTAAGAATCAGATTGTTCTATAACCAACAGTCCCATTTGCATGAAGTTAGTGCATTATATTTAAATATTTCCTCTTAGTCCATTAAACATGCCCCCCAGTTTATTTGCAGCCCCAGTTTGCTAATATAATTCATATTAGTAAGGTATCTCAGTCCTCTGCTCTTCCATTTATGTTTAAACACAAAATTACAAATGATAAATTGATCGACGTTTAAAACATAAGCCCACTGTAACCTAATCTGTCACAGTGAATTAATAATCCTTGTGCTTGAATACTTTGGGAAATTGTATCTTTACAGAAGCATCTTAAAACCATAATTTATTTTGCAGCATAATAATTTTACTTGCTAAGTGATGTGTGAACAATATGTATTGAAACAAAAAGATTTAACTGGTTTACAGTAAAATTTTTTCTCCAGACTAAAATTGTCTAGGAAATATTTGTCCCCCCCAAAAAAGGGAGGCCTGTTATAGGTTTCTTTATTCATTTGTAGTTATTTCAGAAATTAATGAAAATTTTAATTTTTTTAATTTAAGAAATTGTTAGTGTCTTAAATATTAAATATAGATATGCATTTATATTTTCAGGTTTAGTCATACCAAATGATGCACTCTGAGCCCAGTAGTTAATTATACAGGATTCATTCTTTGTTCTAGTTATTTTAGAGCAGCCAATCATATTTAAATATCTAATGGGAATATTTCACCAGGTTAATGTTCCAATACAATGATATTAATAATTCTCTTTGAACTTCTCAAAAGATATATAAATAGAGAATTGTTATTAATGATCAAAAGTCAGTACTTCTTGCCTACTCCATAAAGTTAAAGAGTTCACTAAGCTTCTAATGGCACACTGCTTTGTTATGTTCATAATTATTTATGAAGTTGATAATTACCCTATATCCACAGCATGTTTTAATGAATATTCCCTAATAGTTTCATTCCCTTGTGAAAAATACCTACTTATTGCTCATGTTTCTTTTCATAAAGGGTTTTAAGATCTTTTTATTTTGCTTAACAGTTTTAATAACTGGATATTGAGTGTTTCATTTTTTTTTGTCCCCTTGGTAGTCTTTTGGGCTGGGTGTTTCCACATAGATTTGTACTCAGCAAACAGGGTAGAAGGACTGGGGCCTTCAAAGGCCAAGACACGGGCTTCAGGAAGCAGAGTTGGTAAGATGTGGAGTTGAAATTTAAATCTAGATCTCTCCCCTTTGCAAGGGTACTGAATATTACTATCTAAATAATCCATGAGAAAAAAACTAATGAAAAGACCAAATCATTGATACATGTTGCATGTTGGTGAATTGAAGAGTGTTGTTCACTTAGACATTGGTTCTGTTTCGTATTGGTACAGATTTGATAGTGTTCCGCACTTGCAAACTATAGCCTTAGCAGGGCTGTTAAGTGTGTGCTAGGCAGCTAGATGTGGGCTCAGAGCTCAGGGGTTATTGACACTGTGCCATCAATCACAGAGAGATGTGTTTGAATCCTGGTCTATTTAATACCTGTGACTTTGTGAAAGCCAACTTTTAGAAGTTTTAGAAGGTTAGTAAGTTTGTAATAGAAATAACAATGATAATGATAATAGAACAACAGGAGTTAGAGAGGAATAAAGACTGAAGCATATTATTTTACATGTCACACCCCATAGACCTTTCAACCTTTCTGGAGTTTTAGGGGAAAATTATTCAGTTTAGCACAGACCATTCCAAAAATCATGAGGACTTTTCAATAAAATCGTGAAGGCAGTTGCTTAAATGCTATCCTTTTTTGGCTCCTTAAAATAAGATATCGTAATGAGCCTCATGCTGCTACGTGTCTGTCATAATAATATTTAGGCCGTGAAGAGTCCCTAATTATCTTTTCCTTAGTCTGAATTCTCATTCTTAATCATTTAAAAAACAGAAAGATTATACTTTTTAAGAGCATTAGAGATGGGCTTCCATAGCTCTGGTATGTGGCTGCTTAGTGCTTAGAAATTCTTGGAAAATGCTTCACAGATGCTCATGGTAGATAAGCTTGGCCATATGCTATTGATAAGTGATTACATACTGTGAGGTAATCTGAAGGTACTTAATTTGGTCCTTGCTGTCAGAATTGTTGGCAATGACCATGTTCATTAAACATGCTTCAACTCTAACATGGAAAAATAAGATAACATTGTAATGTTTCATGTAACAGAAAGAAAGAGCTCTTGGAATTGTGGTCTGTGTGGGTACAATATCAGTAATGTGAATATTTGTTTTATTATTTGTAACTAATTTATTAATATAAATTTTGAATCCTGATGAAACCACTTCTCAAAATTTATTTTAAAAATCTTAAATTATCTGGCTTAGCTTCCATTGAATGAAATCAATGAGCTTTTTATTTATTATATCTACACTCATCTTTTGAGACTATGTTGGATCAAACTTCACTAATATTTTCAATTTAATGTCATAAGTCATAGCTTATTTTTCTTCAAATACCTTTAACTTTAAAAGTTCCCTGACCAACATAGCTTACTTGTTAAATTTTACATCCAAGTTTCAGCCTAGTTTTGAAAGAAGTAAACTAATCCTTTTCTTAGTATTTAAAATATTCATCTTCATATTTACTTATACATTTTTTATAATAGATATGTCCAGACAGCTTTCAGTAAAAAGGCAATTTACTAGTTCTCTTTCTAATGTGGTTGTAATAGACAAGATAATTCATATGCTCCATATTCAGAAGGAATCAAATTACATAAATCAATAAAAATTAAAATAGCAAATTTATCTTCTTTTAAAAGTTAATTACCTAGTTTTCTTAGTAAGAGAGCTCAAAAATACTTTAATAAATTTCTACATTTCTAGCATTCTTTAAACACTCCCCTTGGACTAAAAATGAATCCAGAAATAAGGTTTTTCTTTTATTGGTTTTTAGTTAATTTGTAAACTGTTCTAGACTATTTAGGTATTTAAGTCTTCCTACCACTACAGGCACTATTTTTCCTTTTTTGACACTTAGAACAATTGTTTTCCCATTAGATTTTTGAAATTTGCAGTGACTATTTTTAAAACTTGCAGAGACTGTTTTCTTAAACTTTGTCATATATAGTTATTTCTTAAATTTCTTCAACAGTGTCTTGAATATTAGATGTGGTTATCCAGTTTTGATCAAATCATGACTTGTTTATTTTTGATAAAATCATGGCTTGCTTGTTTGACTAAATTATTCACAATTTAAATTCTAGTGAATTACTCTTTTCTCAACTGGGAATTAGAAATAGATAATAAGGCTAAATAAGGAATTAACCAGATACTATTGTCTTATACAATTCTCAAAGAAAAATTGTAAAGCCTATTAAAGTTATTAAATAAAATATTGATCATGGAACTTCTCATTCCATGTAATTCACAGCTTTTTCTATTCACTTTATTCCTGAAGAATAGTTTATTTACAAATAAAGGCTTGGTAACTTTAAAATGATCTATAGTGTATTATATATGTTTTAAAATTATATATGTATTTCATATTTTTAAACTATATTTGTATTATATATATTTAAATTTTATCTTGAAACATGGAAAACATTGGTAAAAATCTAGGGATGTCTATGCAATTGATGTACATTGAGTTTTGTATCTACATACCAGACTTCTGCATCTCTATAGAGAGCATACATCAGCAAACTACACAGGACTTCAGCTAGTTTGTGAAGGCTAATTTTTGAATTTTATGATAGTGACACCTATCAAGAATTTTAATGAATTAAAATCATGGGAATTCATTATACTCTTAGAAGAAATTCAAGATACTTTGGTGATATGTTAACTATAATATCATTAATTTTCTCGTTTATAAGAGTAAGAACCATCTTTGAGACAGGAGTTATTTTATAACATTAACAATAGTAGGGGTATAAACGTGACTGCAACCTGTACACTCAGAAAAATGAAATTATATCCCATCTGATTCAAATGTATTATATGTCAAGAGCATTGTACTGTCATGTGTAACTAATTAAAACAAATTAAAAAAACACAAAAAAAAACAATAGTAATATTAATCTGAGAATTCTTTTTGCATGTTCTTGGTTTTATTTTATCTATTTGCCAACACTGACTGTTGCATATGTAAATTACATACAGATATAGATACCACATGTCTTGTAAATTTTATACTAGGTAATTGAAATATGAGGCCATCAAAAACACAGATGATATATTTGATCATTTAAATTTTTCCAGTTTTTATTTTAAGTATACCCTGTCATGTATTTATAATCTGAAGTTCCTCGATCAGTCATTCACCAGGACTAATGTTCAAAGAACAACAGACTCACACAGCTTCAACACAGTGGGACACTGAAATGTTCCTCCAAATTTAGTTCTTTCTAATGTTAGGCCCAGGTTCTCTGGAGAAACTTCTGTCTTATCAAAGAACAAATCCTTGGGTGGTAAAAAA